AAAAATCATCCATATATATGATATTGACCAACCAAAAACTGAAACAAAAGAACACATAGACTCTCAAAGACGCAAATTAAACTATTAACTCATAATTCCATAGCTGTGAATCGGTAATCATCCTAACCTCGACAAGCCGCCGGACTTTTTCGTCAAAAATTTCTTTCGAAACCTTATCGTCTTCAACCGACTGAAAGGACGTGACTTCGCTAATCTCTTCATGCTAAAAAAGTACAAAACCAGGAGGAGCACAGAACAAACACTTAGTAAGCAACTCTCATTGTCTGAGAAATATTAAAAAACAGAGCCCTAGGAGGCATACTATATAAACTAGGATGATTTGACAGAAGGATAAACAACTGCAGAAACCTTTCTTTATTTTTCAACAATAACAAAATGACAGATCTATGAGCTGAAGGCAATTATTACCACAAAAAATTGTAAAGCATTAAGTCTGTAACACATGTACCTGGGATTGTTCAGGTTTACTACTTAAATTGGCTGCTTGTTCCTCTAAAGTCGCTATAGTTGACCTTAATGCTTCGTTTTCCTAAAATAATACATCTGAACCACCCAATGACCAAAATTAACCTAAATACCATTAAAATCCTTCCAAAATTTGTATTAATAAAATCATAAACTTGAAAAACATCAAGCACTTTCTTCCTTTCGTCTTATTAAAAGAAAACCTGCTGTAAGTTTAGCTTTTCACTTTCATATTTCTTCACTAAAACTGCCTCATTGTCCTGAAGTGATTGTAGTTTATTATCACTTTCCTGAAAAAGTACATAAGATTCATTTATTTGCATTATTTAAAAAAATTTCCTCAGTGTTACAATTATTTAGGTATTTTTCTGAAACTATAGAATGAAGATGTCGTGTTTTAAAAAAATATATCAGAAAAAACAAAAGATTTAGTAGTGCATCTGTCAAAATTTACAGAAAAAAAACAATTCTGATTACTTTAAGAGCATTGGTTACTGCATCAATCTGTTCAGTAAGCCTTGCATTTTCTGCTTTCGTTAACTTGACGTTCTCAACTTGTTTCTTCACAAAATAGATCAGCTCATCACGCGAAAGAGTGTCAAGCTAAAAAAATCATAATCAGTAGTAAAAACCTTTCAACATTTCGCACCTCAAGTAATCAGTACATCATCATGTCAAAAAAAAATTTGCATCTCCAATTTGTTAAAATACTTCTGATAAAGTATTATACATCGACTTAAGGTGATACTTCAAAACTGCTGCTCAGCACTTTTTCTTTTCTGCGTTAAGTACTTTTTTGCCTAGCATGACTTCCAAATAGCAGCAAATAAATTTAAAAAAGAAGGAACCAGAATAGCACGATAACAGTAAATTTCTTCCCCACCTGTATTTTGACTCCTGTTCATCGTACAACTACTAAGAACCAGTATTGAAAAAACAAAGATGCCTTTTCTATTCCATAGTCGAGAAAAAAAAATAATCATAGATGTCTTTATATCATTAAAGTTTTATAAGGCTGATAAACACGAATGAACTAACTCGAGACCGTGGAGTTGAGGGGACACTTGACGAATGAGATGATGTCGTAGTAACATCGCCGTTCATCACCAAAGTGGAGATGATCAGTTGAAAAAAGAAAAAGGAAATAAAAGAAATCACAGAGCACTAAGCAAATATATAATATATTTATAATATACACAAGATAGTTCTTTCTTCATGGAATAAAGTAGAATCTTTGTTTGGAACTAGTATAATAGTTTGCATAAACTATTTTAGCCTTGCTGAACAGTCGCCTGCTTGTTGGAGATTTGAACACGCATTATCTACATTAGTGAAAAGTTCCAAGTGGCCCTAGCAGCACAAGACGGATACTGATGAACAAATATTATCCTATAAGTATATGTATTAGTAATAATAATGTCAACTGCGACCAGCAAGCCCAGGCACAGCAACCAGCAATATGGCTGTCGCAGCTGATGTGTTGGTTGTGTGATTGTTGCCAAAAAATTTTTTTCCCTATCTGTTCTCCCGCAACCCCATTCCTTTTTCTCCGTATCACTCTGATGTTGTATATTTGTCTTTGCATTTTTTTTTGTTGTTCGCCGTATATGAAAATGAATCGTGGCGGCCGTATTCATCAACCCAGATTTTTTTTTTCTACCAGCATACAGTTCCGTAAACAGTTAATGCGAGTCCTCTGCACCGTCAAATAAACAAGCACAGACTTGTGCAACCCAATTCCCCTATCCGATAGACCTTCATCTTACATCCCCAAAATTTATTTTCCAGCCTACCATAGCTGTCGCTAAATATTCAGGATGGAAAGTATCAAGAAATAGCCATACGGTACCAATAAGAGTAATAGTAACTAAAACAACAATAATAACAGTGTCACCAACACCAGCATAAGCATCAAGTTGCTGAACTTTACGGCCTGTTGAGAATCCCAGTGGTAACCAACATTTAACCGAGTTGTAAGACGCATGTGCTGTCAGCACAGTTAAACAAAGTCCTCCGACGCCACGTAGTAAATGAATTCAATCAACCACTTAGTGAAAATTGTTCTGACACACAGGGATGCGTCATACATTTACTAAATCAGTGACTATTTCTGTATCCCACTTTATGTACGGTGCCTAAAAGCCAAAGTATTTTAATTAGAATACAATGCTTTTATTATACATATCTTTCAGTATTGCAGTATTGCTACGTTCAGCAGTACTTTCTTGTTTCATCTATAACAAACAGAGACAAAATTCCATAGCAAAGATCCCGGAAACTAACAAGAACCCACACAATTCTTTTAAAAATCAGTCGACAATATGCTCACCGAAACGATCCAATCAATAAACCCGTGCTCCAGTCAACAGGTAAATTAATAAACAGAAAACCAAACTCTGCTCTTGCCCAAGACTTCTGCTGCCAAGCCCTCCGCAACTTAACCCTTTCGATTCAGTAAACAATTTCACAGATTTGGAGTATTCACCAGTCCTCTCAACTGCAGAGAGAATAGGCCTATTAAAAACTCAACGTAGAAACTCTATACAACCTGTATGAAAGAACAAAATCTGCAGTCCAACTGCCGTACCTCGATACTAATACCTCAATCAGTTACGATTTAGCTCATTAATGATTTGTAAGATTCTCAAAAATAGATTGATAATATCTAGATACAAAGAGACACAAGCGTCAATATAATCTTCAGGAGAAGAATGATGCATAATTCGATCGACATCGATAACCAAATACGCAGAGAATATGCCGGCACCAACAACAGCCATCATGAAATTGAAAATAGGAGACTGGACGAAAATCTAAAAACAAATACATACTAAGTACGTTGCCACAACAGGAGGGAAAAGCAGCTGAATAAGTCCCGACTTTTCAGAGCTCTTTGCTAAACTCCAACTCCAACTTGCCACTTATTTACAAGCAGAAGTCTGGAACTGGAAATTAGTGAGCTCTCGAAACGCTTTTTACAATCTAAGACACTAGAATTGTAAAGAAATACCGTACCTGCACCAGCGAAGCTAAAATGAAGACCAATAGGAAAGAGTACAGAGTTGCGTAATACTTCTGGAAGTCTCTTTTTGACTGTAGAGTGTATATGAACAAAGAAATGACCACAACAGCAGTCAAACCTACTGCTTCAATCACTACTTCGACATCATAGAACGAGACTATAAAGTAACGTCCACTGATAAAAAAGTAGTTGTAAACAACCAGAACTCATAAAAGATTAGAAATATATCGAGGAGGTAAAAATTATATCCCATTTTTTGACTTGGAAGGTTAAAAAACCTAAGGAATAAGGCACAAAATAAATCTATTTATCTGTTTTGAAACTTGTAGAAAAAAACTTAACTCTTAACTACTGCTATAAAATTAACAAAAAATTCTGCAACTACTTCAAGCGAAGCTGTAGATGCAGGAAATTCTACCCAACTTACCAAGAAAGGCTACAGCAAAAGCCTGTGTCATTGTCCAAGAGGTAAGCAGTAAATAGTTGATAGGCACATTGTGAGAATTCATATAAAGCGCAAATAATAATATAAATGACATAAAGAGAGAACCAAGAACAAGTCCAGGGCTAAAAAAATAATCACTACAAATAGAGCAGCATCATGCAGAGCTACCAAATGATGCAGGAAACTCACTGTTCTTGAAGGAAAATACGGACATTTGGGACCAAGTAGAAAGTGGTACAAATTACAGCTGTGGCTAACAGCTGGAAGGAGAGAATACCAAATACTTTTCGTAAGAAGCCTGAAAATTAAAAAGAATAAAATGAAAAGAACGAACAAATTATGATTAGAAGACAAATTTACAATGGCAAGGTATAAAACAGTCAGAAACGACTAAAATGAAAAATAATGTATTGCAGAATTCAAAACTCCAAAAATTTTCAGAGAACTAGAGCAACTAATGGTAAATGAGTAAATAAAAAAATTCCAGTAGAAACGAACCCAATCTGATTGAGATGTTTGCTAAAGCGACTGACCCAGCAAACAAAGCATCTTTCCCAAACTCAATATCCAAAAATCTTCGAGACCTTGTTCCTCTTGCATTAAACTCATTCTTTTTAGTTTTCATAACATCTTCATAATTCGGCAATGGCCCCGGTTCAGTATCCTGGTCCAAAACCAAAGGTATTGTCGTCATCGTTTAAAAAACTCCTAACAGCCACTGCGGTATCCACCTGACGAGTACTTCTGGATGAATATGAATTTCATAAAACCATTATTACCATTAAAATAAATGGATCCACAACCAAAAACCATCGTACAACATACTTCCAAACCTTATAAGAAAAAACAAAAACGAAAACTGTAGGAAGACAAAAACAGACGCCAATTTACAAAAAGCATTTCTTCTTTCTACTTGTATAATTCTTGGGTATAAAACCAACACATTTTTGTAAATCTCCGGTATTAACCTTTCAAATAAAGAGTACTAACACAACGACCGCTTATTATCACCGGCATTGCCTTCATAAACATTAACATCATTGCCGGGAAATATTGCGCGTAAAGACGTGTCTGTGAATCAAACAACAATGAATGCGAAATAAGAGCACTTGCATGTACACTTATTTCAAAAGTATTACACATACAACAAACAAATTTTGATCCTAAAGTGCTAGAAAAGTAAGAAGATAAAATAAAAAAAAAAAAGAGAAAGCTATCAACATATGGCCGTCAACGGCAAACCTTCCCACATAAGGTAAATTTCGTGGTAACAAAAAGGAAAGTCCAACAAACATGTTTATTACATGCTTGCTAGCCGCTTGTCAGAAAACGCTTGCATGTTGTTGATACGCGAGCGGCATCCTAGAGTGCAGTGCAGTTCTTCGTTGAGCATTGCCAATCAAAGGCAATCACCAACATCGGCAAAGACAAAGACAAAACCAACTGTGCCAACAAGGAGAACAACACAAAGAAAAACAATAGTTGCAACAATCGCCACTTAAGCTATTTTTATTCAGCTTAATACTTAACAAACTTCCTGATCGCGATGCTGGTCACATTAACAAGCCCAATACGTATCCAGAGTTCCTGCGAACTAGTTTATCCTCATCGGCATTGATTCAATCTGTGTCTGTGTACACGTGTAAACGAAGCGACTGCGTTATAGAGTATGCGAGGCACACTATCATTACAATCTCCTCCGGTCTATAAAAATTCATCTGGACAGCTGATCTTCCTATATACTTCAGCTATTCCGTACCGGTAAGATCCGTAAACAACAAATTGGACTTTCTTTTTTAACTGGTAGAAGCGCTACAAAGACAATATGCGTTTGACCACCAGTTTCTGTGAACAAGGCCAGTGAAATGAAACTGCTGAAAGCAAGTTTAATGCATAATCCAACTAATCAGAACAGGTAAGCAGGAAAGATTAAAAAACTACGGAAGAGCCCAAAAAACGATGGTTTCCGAGAGAAGAATAACCGAATGAAGAAAATTCAAATAAAAAAGAATAGAACGTTTATTGTTTAATAATTTGAAGAACGTTGGTAATACCATGAACAGGCAAACACGTATCATTAATACGAAAAAATATTCACTCTTCTTTTTGTCTTCTAAAAAAAACCGTCTGTGTTTATACGTATGTGCGCGCAACAAACACTTTGCTAGTATCTTTGTGCCTACTACCACATTACGATCAAATATGAACTGAGTCTTGGAAAAATGCAACTAGTATATTACCAAACAATTCATTTTTTCTTTTCATTTTCACCAAACAAATAACCCGTCTACGGGTTTGGTTAATAGAAGGAACAAAAAAAACTTTCTCTGAAAACACCACCAGATTAAAAAACTCTTCTAAAACTGACAGCAACTCTTTCTGTACAAGTTACTTGTCCATACCTGTACCAAATACAATTGAAACAAAACATGCATACCCAATTTTTGCTCACTATGAGTGTCCAATGAGAAAAATACCCCAACCAAACAGGTTCAGTACTAAAAAGAGAAGAGGCAGAAAATTAAAAAACAAAATTGAAACAAAAAAGAAAAAAAAACAACTGCATAAGGAATAAAAAATGAAAGAGAACATGCAAACGACAATACAATTTTTTGAGGCATCTTCTCAGGTCCCACTCAACAACCCCAATATCACCTCAGCGGATAAGTTCCTATTTTTCCGGCTATTGTCTTTCACTGCGATATGTACAAAAAGATGACAAAGTGAACTTTAGGCTGATGAATAAAACTGGAAAAATAAGCTCGATTTCTGTTTTTTTAGAGATGACTCTTTACAGATTTTGCTTGGAAGATGTCTATTACAAGTGCAATTTGTTTAAAGGCCAAGCATCCCATAAATTAATGAAATACAATTTATAGATTTTCAACACGTTGCAGCACTATAGACCAGGCAACACTCCCAATGTTTCACGAGAAAAAAAAAAAAAAAAAAAAAGAAAGAACGAAGTCCATAACATTAGCATTACAAGTACAGATTAAAACAGAAGATCTCGGTCATTTCTAAAACGAAGCAAGCGAACAGAAACAGAAACTAATATATCATTACCTAAAGCTCACAAAAGACACTGTCAAGTAGAATCACAATTTAAAGTAGAAGTATAACAAATCTTTGAGCATTCCTCTAGTCAAGAAGACGCAGCAATACTTTTTTTCGCAGCCTGTATCAAATGAAACAGGCTAGCAAGTGGCTTTGCGCATTTCAAAAACTGATGGGTTAGTAACTGACTGGCAGTCCAACGATGGTCAACTGAAACCTCCAAGGCGCGATCGATGAAATCTCTAAACGCCGTCGATAATGTTTCACGAGATGGGAAATCTGGCTTTCCGTTAGTAGCAATTAGATAAATTGCCTAAACAAACAATATTTTAAAAATAATTGGTCAATTTACCAGAATCAGAAAAGATTCAAACGAGCCAGACGTGACAAAACAAACATACACGTAGAGGATTTTCATTGAGATAGGGAGGTTCCCCTTCAACCATTTCAATTGCCATAATACCTAGAGACCACACATCCACTTTGGGACCATACTGCTTACGTGTCACTACTTCTGGAGCCATCCAATATGGAGTTCCAACCATGGTTGTTCGTTTGCTTTGTTCAGGACTTATTTGAGCACAAAATCCAAAGTCAGCTGCAAGTTTCCAAATTCTGTCAAGTCAAAACTCGGTACCGACCAGAAATAACAAAATAAATAAAAATGCAGCTTATAGAATGATGTAAATATAAAAAAAATGACCTCAAGATATAAAACAAAAAACTCATCAGCTACCCGAACAAAAAATCTAATCCTCCCTAAAAAATGCAAATTATTCAGTTTCATTGTGACTTACTTAGTTTAACAGAACCGTCAAGACCAAGCAAAATGTTGTCTGATTTAATGTCTCTGTGAATGACATGACGCTTATGAAGAAATTCCAAAGCTTGCAGTACCTAAAATGAAACTCTCGAAAGCGTTTTGTTATAACAACAGATACAATATTCAGTCCGCCATTAATCGTTAGAATAACCGAAAATTAACCAACCTCACGAAGAACAGCGGCGATCATACCTTCCTCCATCTGACATTCGGTAACAACATCTGTTAATGACCCTCCAGCAAGGTACTCCATTACAACCTTAAAACACCAGGTGTAAGTCATTTTAACGAAAAAACAGCTTCATTTGCACAAAAATTGCTCTAAAAAATTTATTCACCCATAACTCATCACCGACAAGATATGAGTCAAGGTAATTAACAATATTGGCATGTTTATTTTCACGCATAACAAGAATTTCATTGATGATCAATTCTTTTTTCGGCTGCTGAGTAAGATTCATCTGTTTAATAGCTACTTCTGCGCCAGTGCTTATTTCAATAGCCGTGTAAACCGATCCAGAAGCGCTAAAATAGAAGATAGCAAATACAAGAAAAA